AACGGATCTATGTCCGATGTTGCAGGGTGGAGAGGTCAGCCCATACCCAGCCGTCCAGGCAAATGCAAACGCGCAACCCTTATAGAGGGGAATTTGGCAATACCTAACAAAACTACATATGTACATACCTTTCTACTCAGCAGCCCCTCTTCTAGAAATCAACCCTGAAGATACAGCTCCAAGAATACAAAAATACATGTACACAAGGTTATGCACTGTGCCATTATTTGTAATTTCAAACTACTGGAAGCTGCCTGAATGTTCGTATGTAAGAGCATGGTTGCCTCTGGAAAAAGAATAAGGAAGACCTCTACGAGCCAAGAAGCAGTAATTCCCAGGACATGATGTTAAGTAAAAAAAAAAAAATCGATGGCAAACTATCTTTCATAGGATAAACTATCTTTCAAAGGATAAATAAGATAAGGATAAACTATCTTTCAAAGGATAAACTATCTTTCAAAGGATAAATAAGAAAACACCCAAGTATCTCTGTGTGAAAAAATACAGGAAGAATAAAAACCAGAGAAATTGGTTACCTATAAAGGCTGTGTAGAGAGAGGAGGAGAGAAGGGAGTGGGCAGGGAGAGAGGGAGGAGGAAAGAGAGATGCTTTTCTGGGTGCATCTTTTTCTAAATCTTTGGCTCTGCCCATTGTGAGATTTTACATAAATTCACATGCTCAAACAGTAAGCAAACAACTGAAACCAACCAGGATGTAGAGAGCCCCAAATGGAATGCAAACACTATCCAGTGGACCTGACAAATGACAGATGGATGACACCACCACATGAAGGGGGTGGGGAAGGGAAGAACCCGCCTGAGGAACTTCAGAAGACCAGGTGCTGTGCACGACAGGAGCTGTGCACAAATGTGTGCGCTGGTTAGCAAGTGTGTTCCTGAGGGGTATGGGTTCGAGACTCGGGAGCTACTTTGTGTGTGTGCTAGAACTGAACAAATAAGTGAATACAGATAATGAGAACAGGGTTCCCGCTGCTGGTGCTGGCGAAAGAAGCTGTGAATGAGTGGGAGAATGGTCAGAATGAAGCCTCAGGTGTCTTTCTAGAAGGAGAGGGCTCAGGACACAGTCGTGGTATGTAACAGATATGCACATGGAGGGGTGCAGAACTGTAGGGGTGTGGGGAGAGGGTTAACACACCCATGTGTGTTTCCTAAGACAGGAGCACTAGAGACGAGGTCCTGGGTGTCTGTGCATCCTTCTCTAAGGAAAGGAACCAGGCCCCCCTGGGGGAGTGGCCGATTCCAGAGAATAAACCAGATGAGCCCAGAACATCTTAGGTTGCCAGAAAGTAAGGAATTGCTCAGAAGAGGATGGGCTTGTTCAAAGGACACAAGTGCCAACCTGAAGGAGCTCCTAATGGCCAAAGCTGAGAAAGTTTGAGCAAGAAGATAAATAACAGAAGTATCAGACTTAATAGAATAAAGTAAATACCCGAGTCCATACTGAAATAAATCAACCACTCCGTGGAGAAGGGACAACTCTTCCTTACAGCAGAATTTCAACCAACAAATGTAGAAGGAAAGAGGAAAATTGAAATCACCATCAGGCAAACCCCACACACCACTGAAATAATTGCTGCAGACAGTGCCCCCCAAGCCTGCTCAGATTAGTGGGTGGCAGTTTGAGGAGGCAGGATTTGTATAATCTCAAGGTATCTGCCCTCAGCTATTAACTACAAAGGGAAAGATAACCTTACAGTGCAGAAACCCAGAAACACCACCTTAGTGCAGTGATCAAGGTTATATCCAGGGTGAGGGCGCACACACGAGCCCTGATGAGATGCACTGAGGACGCTGACGCTTCTCTGGGATCTTGCCACAAATGCAAAGCCTCGTTCCTAGCATGAGAAAGCATCCTTCAAACCCAAATCAAGGGACATTCTACCAAATCACTGATCACCATTTTTTTTGAGACAGGGTCTCACTCTGTTGCCCAGGCTAGAGTGCAGTGGCATCATCACAGCTCCCTGCAACCTCCAATTCCTTGGGCTCAAGCGATCCTCCTGCCTCAGCCTCCCAAGTAGCTGGGACTACAGGTGCATGCCGCCACGCCTGGCTAACTTTTTCTATTTTTGGTATAGATGGGGTCTCAATCTTGCTCAGGCTGTTCTCGAACTCGTGACCTCAAGTGATCCTCCCACCTTGGCCTCCCAGAGTGCTAGGATTACAGGCTGGCATTTGATCACTATTCTTCATTCTACAGTTGATTCTTGAATAACATGGGTGTGAACTGTGTGGGTCTACTTATTGCAGATTTTCTTCCTCCTCTGCTGCTCCCAAGACAGCAAGACCAACCCCTTTCTTCCTTCTCAGACAACTCAACTCAAAGACTCTGAGGATGAGGAGACCTTTATGATCCACTTCCACTCCATGAATAGTAAATACATTTTCTTCTCTTTATGATTTTCTTTATATATAAATATCTGTTGACTGTTTATGCTATTGGCAATGCTTCCGGCCAACAGCTGGGGGGTCCAAAGTTTACGTGGATTTTCAACTGCACAGGGGGCTCAGGGCACCCCAAGCTCCTGTGTTGGTCAACGGCCAGCTGTGCCAAACAACTGATCACCGTCAAAGTCATAAAAACAAGGAAAGATTGAGGACTGTCACACATTAGAGGGGACCAAGGAGGAATAAGTCGATGCAGTGTGGGGTGCTGGGCTGGTTCTGGAACAGAGAGAGGGCATTAATGGAGTGAATTTCATTAATGAGGGAAATTCCGATCCAGCTGTCACAGTACTGTGTTGAGTTCCAGGTCTTCCTGTTGGTGCTGCGGTTGGGTAGGATGTCATCATTAGCGAGAGTCGGGTGAAAGGCACACAGGACCTCTCCACACTACTGTTGCAACTTTTCTATAAGTCTGAAATGAGTCCAAAATAAAAGGGTTTTGAAAAATTTATATTGAGTGTCCCTCATATGCCAAGCCCTGTTCCCAATTCTGAGGATGTGGCTGCAAACACGATGGTCACATCCCTGTGAAAGAAACGAAAACAAACCCGTTTCTCCTGCTCTCACACAAACCGCACTCTACTCTGGTCACCACGTGCACGTGGGGGATTTTCCTGCACACCAGGCAGGATATTCCCCAGCGGACATCAGCTGGGGTCGTCAGATTCGTTCTATGCTGACGCTGTCTCCTGGGGGCCAGTGTCGGACCCCACAGGTGGAGGGCTCAGTTCCCAAGACCGCTCCCCACTTCCCATGACAACTGCAAGCCCCAAGTCGACCCGAACTTCTGACCAACGGCTATAAACTGGGAGTTCCACGGCCCCCTCCTCTGGTTTGATTAATTTGCTACAGTAGCATCGCACAGAACTCAGGGAAATACGTTATGCATGTTTACTCATTTATTATAAAGATGTTACATAGCCTGGGCAACAAAGTGAGACTCTGTCTCAAAAAAATAATAAAAATAAAAATAAGATGTTACAAAGGACACAGATGGACAGCCAGACGGAAGAGAGACACAGGGCAAGGCCTGAGGCAGGGCACGTGGGGCTCCCACGCCCTGTCTGGGCACAGCACCCTCCAGGAACCCGAGAGTTCAGCTACCCCCAACTCCAAACCCTGTCCTTTTGGGTTTTCATGGAGGCTTCATTCTGTAGGCACAAGTCGTTACATCATTGGCCGCTGGCATCATCTCAGCCCTCCCTGAGGCTGTCAGGGAGCCCCCAGTGACCAGCCATTGCTTTGGAGATTCCAGGGGTTTTAGAAGTCATGTGCCAGGAAATGGGGAGGGGCAAGGACCAAATATCCATTTCTTATTATGAATCACAATATCACAGTCCTTGTCTATGGGGAGAAGGGATAAACAAGAAACAGGTTAATAAAAAGCATCATGTCCCACAGTGACAGGTGCTACAAAGAGAATAAAGCAGGATCCTGTGATGAGAGACAGGAGGGCCTCTCCGAGGAGCGACTGCTGAGCAAAGACCGGAACGACAGGCGTAGCAGCCAGCAATGTGGTATCTGGAGGAACGCTCCTAGAGACAGGGGCCATGTGCAAAGGCCCTGAGGCAGAAATGAGCTTGGCATGGTGCAGCTGGGAGGGGACAGATCCTGTAGACTCTGCTCCGACAGTGGGAAGGAACTTGTTGTGGCTGGAAGGGAGGTGACAGAGACTCAGGACTTCTCTGTCAGGAGCACAGAAGTTCGGATCGAAGTGAAAATAAGGGAATTTCTGTGGTTTCCCACAACGGACTTCCCTGTCTGGGCCTGCATGAGCATGTCTACAAAACCATCAGATTGGCCCAGGCGAGGCAAGCTGGGCCCACGAGCTAGGAAGCCAGTTTTAACAGCCTTGAGTAAATGTAGAGTTCCATTAGCCATACTACCATGCCAAAAATCTGTATTGTTCATAAGTATTAGAAAGAACACATCAACTGATCTGGGAGCCCCTGGTTAGCTCATCTGTATCCAAAACTCCAGTGACACCGAAAGTATGAACTGTTCTTTTTCTTAATCCAACTATAGACATATGTAACTGCTAGTTTTTTGGAAGACAAAAAGTTTTTTGGAAGACAAAGTCAATACATGGAATCCATATGATAGAATGAATAAAATGACTCTTCTAGTGGCAAGAAAATCAAATGATTCTAGAATATATTCCTCCTAATTGAACCATTAATTGACTTTAAGCCTGTAAAGTTGTCCTTTGTAATGTAATAAATCATAAAGATAAAAATCGGTTCCTTATTTTACACAGATATTACAAAGAAGAAAACAAGAGTTTCTGTGAAAATGGTATGAGTATCTTATCAAGTTACCACAGCCTCATCATCCTACAGTGCCCACGGCCACCAAGGGCAAGAATGTCGTCATGTAACTCTCTTTGTGCAGCTTTCGATACACTTCTCACCCCCTGCAGCTCCACAGGGAGTGAGAGAGACAAAACAAACAACAACTGCTATGGCTACTGCCTCACATTCATCTTTTTCTTCTAGTTAAAAAAAAAACAAAAACAAAAACAAGCAAGGTCTTACGTGGGAATTCTTTTTCTTCAGAATAGTTTTATTAGTTTGCATACTGTTTGTCAACACTCAAACTTTTTTCTCTCCTACTTTGACACAAATCCATTCAGTCAGAGTCTTCTTCTCCCCATATCTCATATATTGTAATATTATTGTGTGGATCTCCGGGTACCTCTGAGCTTGGAAGCTTGAGGTTACTGCCAGTTGCCATGGCGACCTTAAGATTCCGCACCTTGGACACAAATTTCACAAGGTCCATCTCGAGTTGGGTCAAGGTATTGAACGCATAGTCTTTGCTGGGGGAAGCATTTTGATTTTTCTTTAGTGGAGAGCGTAATGAACAACCTCGAAGGGCAGGAGGATTCTGCTCCTGTCAAGAAAGATATTCAAGGTGAGTAATACCGTTGACTTTGTTGGTTTTGACACAGTTCCGAGAGAGCTGGGCTCATCTAAGAGATGGTGGCCCTGGTATTGCTCTAGTCCAGGCATCTAAGAGAGGATGGCTCTAGCATTGCTCTAGTCCAGGCATTGGCAAACTATGGCCAAATCTGGTCCACCATCTGTCATTGTAAGTAAAGTTTTATAGGAACATGGCCATGCTCATTCATGTGCATACTGTCTATGGCTATTTTCATCCTACAACGGCAGAGTGGAGCAGTTGCAACAAAGACCATATGGCTCACCAGGCTCAAAATCTTTACTATCTGGCCCTTTGCAGGAAAAGTTTGCCAACCCCTGCTCTAGACATTTTGGACACAGTATCATGAAGTGTTGGGTCTATCTAAGAGAGAACACATTGAAGTATTTCTCTCCCTGTCCCCTTCTACCTGAAAGAATTGTTTAGTCACTTTGGGGGCCAGTTGTTACTACTTTATACATTTATCCCTTTAGTCTAGGACTCATATTTCCTTGCGACAATGATATCATTTCCACTGAGTTCAAAAATTTATAAGTCAAACACTAGGAAAATTTTAAAAAATCAGGGGATGAGGAATCTGGCTCTTTGAATAATGCTGAAACCTGAAACACACCATAAATTCTTGAATCTCTTCTCAACTTGCAAAAATTCAATTAACAGGAATAATTGTGAGCCAATAAGCAAAATGTCATTTTCAACTGTTTGTCCCAACCTCTGTGGATTTGGGAACTACTGTCTTCACTAAGGACACATGGGGAAGCAAATTTGCCAACTTTGCCCAGGACCATGAGGTAGGCACTTTCCATTCAAAGTCATCACACTTCACAGTCCTGCCTAACCTGACTAGCACATCTGTTTGTCTGAGTCCGAGATTGCATCAATGCGGTGTACAAAAAACCTAACTTTTTTATCCTTACCTTATTCTTCTCACTATCTCCTCGAAACTTCAGTATCACATAGAGCACAAAAACGAAAAAAAGCCACAGCCACTTGCTCCCGAGCCAGCCTTGGGCATGCTCCGGTAGATTCTGTCTGATCCGAAAGTGGCCCCCGCAAGGGACCTTCCCGGGGGGTTCTTTGGCCTTATCTCTCAGAGAAGAAAACATAAAGGCGTAGCCGCAGGACAGGCACAGAGGCAGGAACAAGAACCATTTCAGCGTCCGCATGGTGAGCAGAGGCAGGGCAGGAAGTCGCTCATGGTGGGTTTGCTTGTCCTCGCAACTGGGAGACAGGCACCCAGGGCTGGGACGTTGGTGATGTCACAGAGGGCCCTGAGCCAGAAGCCACCTGTCCATTGTGATGACTTCAGGGTACAGGATAATGAGGTTCACAGTGGTAGCCCAGGAGGAAGACTTAAAGGGAGATGGGGAAATTTCCAGCAGGCAACAAAAGAGAGAGGATGGGGAAGAGGGGTTGCCACCTCCTTGCCAGTACATTCTTTCTGACCCCGCGGCTCTGTGGGGAGAGGACATCAGCTATTTCTGTTTTTCATTTGTTTGATCCGGACATCGTGGTGAGCAGCGGAGAGACACAATGTGCCCCGTGGAGCTGAGGGCCGAGTGGAAAAGAAAGATATTAAACCACAGGCTACAAACTAAGAGCTGCTGGTGTATTTTGTTTGGCCTACATTGTTTCTAAAAATAATTGCTTTCCAGCTTCACATGTTGAAGGGAACTTCATTTAAGAACTCCAGATTTCTGGCTTCCTGGCTGGTAGCACTGGGCCCACACTCCCACGGGCCACTCTGCTGGAGCCAGTCGGGAGCTGCCCTTGGTGGCCGCGTTCTCTCCACAGTCCCCAGCACTCCCTATTGCCTCACACCACCACTGACCCTACCGAGGGTGTAGTCCCTGGGTTAAGAGCACATTTTACTTAATTAACATTGTGATAAGAACAGACAGCTTTAGAGACGAGAACAAAGGGGCTAGGCTACTCTAAATTAGGTTATCCAGGAAGACTTTCCAGAAAAAAGACATCTGGGTGGAGCTGGAGAGATGATTAGGAGGTGGCCAGGTAACATGGGGAGGGGGCTGACACCTAGGCCTGTGTGAAGACCCCCAAGTAAGAAGGAACAGCTTGTTTGACAACATAGCCCGATGCTGGGAATAAACCTAGGACTCACCAGTGTGTCTGAAACCATAGTCGTTAAATGCCACGAAGCAAGAAGTCCTGGTTAACGGAACAGCAGGCTTGCACTTGTTCCGCCGGGTCACCCGTAGAGCAATCTTCCTACGGAAGGAGTTCAATTTTCTGCTGAGTCTAAAAGAATCATCACGGTCTGCTGGGCACCCTCATTGTGCCTTAAACTGTGTTGAGCTCAGGGGAGCAACAAAGACGTTCCATGAGACTGTTCTGAAAAACCAAAAGGGGCCCGGTGGTGCACAGATTCCTCTGCAGGAGCACAGCTCAGCATGGGCTGGGGGTGGGGGCTTCCTGTCAGACCCCCCTGGCGGGGCCTGGAGAGAGGCAGGTCCTAAGGGCTAGTGAGCAAATAGGTTCCACTACTGAACCCACGCCCCCCTCCCCTGGTGGCCAGGACTCCAGAGAGGCCAAGTGAGGAGGGTGCCCGACCTCAGTTTGGAGGCGCGTCCTCGGCATCCAGTGTCCGGTTCCCAGCCTCCCCATTCCGGCTGCTCTGAGCGCCAACCGCCGAGCGTCCTGAGGGGCCCCTGACTGCACGCAGCCTGTATTTTAAGTCACCTGCCCCAGACGGCGCTCTGTAATTCGGTGGTTACGGTGTCTTGATGCAGTGAGGGGCAAACAGACTCAGTGACATGAATGACCCCAAACAACAGGAATACCCAGAAAGTTCTCCCACACGTGATTTTCATTATTTGGAAACGTTCAGTATATTTAACAGTAGGAATTACATTTTTTCTGCATTGTGCTCGAAAGCCTAGATTACTTTTCAGTAGAACAGGACCTGTGGAAAGGCAGGTAAGCGCCAGGAAGATCTTGGAGCCAAACTTCTCTCAGGGTCAAAAGGTTCCTAGGGTTGAGTGACATCTTCTCGGTTCATTTTGGGGAGGTGTTAATTTCATTTCTTGGGAATAAAGGACAGTGGGAAGCTAAAAGACAGACACATTTTAGAGTCTCTTCATCCTCTCGGTTTTCTCCGCCCAGCTCTCTCGCCTCTGGAAAGGCGGCCTGGGCCTGGGCGGGCAGAGGAAGCAGGCGGATCTCCTCTTGCCTGCCAGGCCCAGTGCCTGAACCTCGGCCCCAGAACCCTCCGCGGGAGCCTCCCGCAGCCCCCTCCAGCGTATCTGTGGAAGACGTCGCAATGGGAGACACAGCCCGGTGAGGGGCATGACCAGCAGAACTGCAAAGCCTCAGGCACCTCACCTATAAGACGGGGGTGACGGCCACTGTCCCACCTCCCTGGGTTGCTGTGGGGCCCCAGCACATGAGGCTGATCAGTGCCTGGCTCCTCGGGGAGCCCTGAACACCATGCCAGCCATGAGCTCTGCCCGCCCTCGGTGCCATCACGCCGGGCACTTGCACAGGGGTGGGTACAGTGGGGTAGGAGCCCCGAAGAGGTGATGCCTTTGCTAAACAGTAAAGGCTGGCTAGGACCCTCCTGGGAAGCCCTTCTCCCTCCCCAGGGATAACCCCTGGGGCAGCGGGAGGGAGGCCGCTGAGTATTCCAGGGAGGCTGGAAGCACAGCAATTGGAGACACTGAAGTTTTGAGGTTGAGGACACTGTGACTGGGTTACCAGAAAAAACTGAACACAGTCAAAATAATCAATGCAAAATAAAGTTGATTAAGGCTATAATTAGGAAAATTGAATTTAGTAGAAATAAAGGTCATGAAAATAACAAGAATACCTCATGATGGCAGAAACTGTAATAAGTAAAATTTGACTAAAAGGATTGGTCAAATTTTCTCTGTAAAGTTAAAATAGAGAAGCATTGATTATGAGAGAAAATAATTGTAACCAATTAAAAAAGGAACAAATTGTTACTAAAGTAATTTAACAAAAGAAAGAAAGGAAAAAAACTCAGCAACTCTTAGAAAATGGTTTAACTGGGCTGTGTAGAAAATTGATCAGGGAAATAAAATGGCTAACTTGAGTTTATTCTGGAAAGTCCGCAACAAAAATCCATTGGTTAATACAATTTTGATTCAAATGCTTCCACACAATGTCAAAATGTCCTTGGGGCCAAACCCGCCCACCTGTGAAGCAGAGCCCCGCATGGGGTTTTAGAGAGCACAGGGGCTTCCCCCGACTCCCTGGAACCCCCCATCGTGTCCACACCCACGTGGACACAGACCTGCCTGCTCGCCTCCCACCCTCTCGCCGTCCTCCCTGGCTCCTTCCCCTGCTTCTGAAGGAAGCCCAGGGCTCTGGGATCCAGTACAGAGAATTGTCTCAATAATGCCACCATGTATGTTCTAGCACTTTCTAGCAGTGTTCAGGCCTGGGGGCTCTTGGTCCATCGCCAACAGTCTCATGAAAAGTTCCAGTAAGTATTGACTTCAACACACACTATGGATGGAGAAAATGTACCAATTTTATGTACAACTCCCTGTTTTACCTTTTGCTGAGGGGAGAAAAGGTGGAATGCGCGGGACGTCGTGGGTGACCCCATCACCATCGGGGCAAAGGCCGCCCTGTTCTTACCGAAGCGTGAGGCGTGAGTGCAAGGCAGGGAAGGAAAAAGTACGGACAGATGAGAGAAAAGGCAGAGCAGCTTTATTTTTGTACCAAATCATTAGGTGCCCAGCTAAGTCTCTGCTATCTTCCAAACAAAGAGACAGGGAGGACTCCCCACGCCCCAGAGCAGCAGGGCTTCTGGCTCCTTCCAGGGTGGGAGCAGAGGGTCGAGGCCCTTCAGAGCCCCTGGGAGGCAGAGTGTATTTGAAACTTGTCCCTTTGAAAGCTCAGCTTCACTTGCCCTACTTGATTTACCACTGGCAGCAAAATCATTAGAATTTTAGTCAAAATGAGCCAATCACACACCCAGAAGAAACCCGGAGTTTCTCGTGATTGCAAGCATAAGAAGTGCAGCCAACAGGACCTTCCAGCGGTCTAAGTGCACCTGCAGGTGGAGGTGAGTATGAACTTGGGCTTGCAGGAGAGGAGGACAGTCACTCTGCAGTCACCCACCATGGCCCCCCAGAACCAATGCTCCTCACAGCAAGAGTGACCACGCCGGCTCCAAGGTTATTGAGGACAAGTTTATGACACCGTGCAAAGGAACGACACCAGAGAATACATGCTACGATCAGAGAATCACAACCGGCCTACAGGGAAACTAACAAGAACCTTCTTGGAGGGAGGAGCGCAGGCGAGGGCTTCAGAAGCAGTAGGACGTGTGGGTGACCCAGTGGGCTGACTCCTCCTTGGAGCGCTTGGCCGAGCTGTGGGTGGTGAAGAGGGACTTGTAGGCTTCTGATTCTTCGCTCTCTGCGATGGACCTCTTCATGGCTCCACAAGGGGGCTTCTTGGCTTTTCCAGAAGAGCTCTCATTTGTTGCTGGAAAAATGAAAAGCCCAAATCTTTAGGGCTGGGACTAAAGATCATTCCAAACATCAAATTCTCAGAAGGGAAGCATGTCGGTTGCTGCGCCCAGGTGTTCTCCTACTTCCGCTGGTGAACGCTAAAGCACATAATGACCTTACTTGCCAACTCCCACAAAACAGACAGCTACGACGTGGAAAGCTATCACTTAATATCCTACTAACCACTCTTTGCTCTGTGCTAGGCACTGGTCCCAGCACCACGAATGGGTTACATTAGATCATCCTCATGAGGCAGGGCCTGCTTTACAGGGAGGATATGGAGTTACAGGAACCTGAGTGACGCCCCCACATGTAGCGCCAGGTCTAGAACCATCCGCCATTGTGGATGCTATTTATAACACAAGACCTGACCACATGTTCTTTTACCTAACGAATCTTTCTTTTTGTGAAATAAACGTTATTTTCCTTGAGTTAAATATACTTGAGTTTTAGGAGAAACTGTGACCCTTGGCCAAGAGGTAGGCAGAGGGAAGGGCCTCTAAGAGGCATGTGTGCAGCCTGTGAAAACCCCCACTGTTTAGATGTTGGGAATATTCCTGCCCAATCCTTGAGCCAGTTCTTGTTGCAGCCTTTAAAGACTGACACCAAGCGCTTACTCAACAGGAAAACTGAACAGTCAGCATTTCTGCCCAGACCCCGTCAATCCTGCCAGGGCTCCTGATGAAGGGGTGTGTTAAATATGTCTTATTACCCACTCGGGAGAGCTCAATGGCCATCTAGAGACATGACTTAGGATGAGCTTGAGTTTTCTCTTCCACTCACTGCAGTGCCACCGGGACACAAGCTCTGGTTTCCGGCTGCCTGAACAGCTGCAGTAGCACCCACCTGCGCTCCTGGGAGCGGAGTTGGTTTTCTTCTCTCTAGAATCAAGGCTGGTTTCTTCAGGCTTCTCTGCTTTAACTTTTGATGGCCCTGGGGCTTCTGTAAAAGAAACAAAGTAAGAGGAACAAAACCAAAACAAAAGCATGAACTTATTTTAGGAAACAGCCCTACAGTTTTATTTTGATAAAATAAGGACCTCTTATAATATCTTACCTTCAACAACATCTGATTTTGAAATAGACTCTGCTGCTTTGGGTTTCTTTGTTTTCTGTAAAAAGAAAGAGGACGTTGGAGGATGTGCTCAGATTCACTCTGTTTCAGTGCCAGTGTGGCTGCCCTTGTCCTGCGACCCTGCTCGACAGGCCGATGTGGGTTATGTAAGGCAGGTAACTCATCCTGAAGAAGGCTTTGATATTCATAAATTCTAAACCTTAATCCTTTGCATGTTTCCAGTTATACACTTTTGTTTCACACAGAATATATCTGTACAGATCTTACTTAATTTTATATTTACATTCCCAAAATCATATTCTCATTTTTACAAAGATAACAGATTTCTCTAATACCAATATTAATGTTGACTACTGTACACAAAAGAGCAATTAAATGAGTAATAACATAAAGTATATATGGATATGCAAAGTCCAGCCAGCATACACAGGTACTAAATCTTACCTATTCTAGTATTAATAACTCTTTTTCAAAGCTGTCAAACTGTTTTGATATTTGTTTATTTAACTATTAGTGCTTGAGGACATTTTAGCTAATTGTCATGAACTCCGCATTATTCTTGTTAGATTTTCTGGCACTAGAATTTTGTTACTCATAACAGATATTTTGGTCAGCAAGAATAAAAAATTAACTAACCATTTTAAAACTACACAACTGTGTTAGAACCGATTCAATCACAGAAATGACAAATGGGACTATGTACAATCTACTTTAAAAATGTCAGTTTTGGCCAGGTGCAGTGGCTCACGCCTATAATCCTAGCACTCTGGGAGGCTGAGGCGGGAGGACTGCTTGAGCTCAGGAGTTTGAGACCAGCCTGAGCAAGAGTGAGACCCCTTCTCTACTAAATAGAAATTAGCCAAACTAAAAATAGAAAAAAAAATTAGCCGAGCATGGTGGCATGTGCTTGTAGCCCAGCTACCTGGGAGGCTGAGGCAGGAGGATCGCTTGAGCCCAGGAGTTTGAGGTTGCTGTGAGCTAGGCTGACGCCAGGGCACTCTAGCCCATGCAAGAGAGTGAGAATATCTCAAAAAAAAAAAAAAAGGCAGTTTCCTAAATATCCAAAAGGTGGCGCTAAAGATATGCAGCCTAAATACTTCAGAAGGCCCCCATCACCAGAAAACATTGAAAAAAAGAATTTCTCAGGCAATGACCTTGAACTTGTAACATATACATGCAATGTGATTTATAACTCTGTACAAAACAAAAACCTTCTTTTCATTTCACACATACATTGCATGCCCTCAAATTTGTGAAGGCTGTTAGTCCTTCAAACAAATAGAAACAACCACTGATTAATATCTAAGCCCTCCATTAGCAGCTGAGGTTATCTGAAAAGCATGAGCAATGAGGAGTTAGAGGAAATGTTGTGTCCTGCTTCCAGCTGTGAGTATATTTGGGAAATATTTTGGTATCCTGGTAGCAGTATCTAAGAGGCATTCCCAGAAGCTCCAGTGAGTATTTTGCAGAGAGGGGCATCTTAGTTCCACTGGGCTTTGAACAACTTGGCAGTAAGTCTGTGACAGAGAAAACTCTCGAGAGTAAAATGGTCGGTCTCACAGGCTTTATGAAAATCTCCAGGAGGTTCCTTTAAAATGCAATTTTTCTCTTTTGTGATTTTTACAGACTGAGCTTGCTCAATGGTAGCAATGAAGAACAAAGGGACCTTTTGGGGAGCGTCAAAAAGGATTTTGTAAAAAATATCTCAAGCTTTCTTTTTCTCTTCTTTTCTGCTCTTCATTCTCTTATAATAATGAAATTGTAGTAATTTAGAAAACCAACTTAGAGTTGACACACTTATGTATATATTTGTTTTTTAACTTTAATGCAGCACTTAGATGGTGAAGCAGCTCTTTAAATATTTCTCATGAATGTTGTATTAACATCTTATAAAACTGCTCCACAGCATATTTGTATTGGCATTTGTTTATAAAGATCAGGCACAATTCTTTGTACTATAGAACCATTTACATGCATTATTTTCTACCCAGGTAAAATGATAAAAGGAGTAAATGCAAATGGATTAGCCTCTTGCTGATCATTTCAGATCTGTGCAAAATGAGAACACTGCTACCATGTGCTCTTGGAGCAGCTTTAAGCCTCACAAGCACAAATTATATATTATTTCAGGGTGATATGGTCTTGTCCCTTCTTCTATTATGATAAAAAAAAAACCCTAAACCTCTGAAAAATCTTAAACTACGACATCGCTCTCACCTTAGACTGACACTTGTAAATGCGTACCCATGCAAAGGCAGGGTATTTTTTCTTTTCTCAAGATTTTATGTCCTCAGGATATTGAAATTAATTTCTAATACTTTAAGCATTCTTTTGCCTTAGTTCTGATCATATAAAGTTTTATCCCCAGTTTACCCTGAGCCTTTGTTTTACAGAATGAAAAATCTGCCATTCCCAAACGACCTGGATTACATAACTATCATCTGGAAACACTTAACAGCTAATAAAATTAACTTCTGGAACCACAATCGATGGCACACTGAATGATTTCTTGGCTGATAAGTTGTATTGAGCCTGCTCATTATGTCATATCATTAAGCAATGATTTCCACTGCTTCTGGAATCTGGTTCCAAACCTGGACCACAAAACAAAGCCTTAACGTTCACATGTGCACCAGAGCTTCAGTCTCATCACCAGCAGTGTTGCTGGGCTCCCTTCTGGAGAGCCACAGCGCCTCTCACTGTGACCAGACCCAGCCCCTCCAGCAGAAGGGCTCAGGAAGGCGAGGGAGACAGCTTCCATTTGTGGGAAGGCTATTTAGCTCCTTGCTACTCAAAGTGTGTCCTTAAGGGGCTGCATTGACATGCCCAGGGAGTGGGTGAGAAAGGCGGGCTCCCAGGGCCCACCTAGGCCTGTCAGAACCCAGGTTGCTGGGTGACTCTTGTGCACATTCAGATCTGGCCAGCACGTGATCTTTAGATTTGCTGGGATAATGGTGACTTTTCACTTTTCCCTTGTTTTACGAGTTACGGAAACCCAGTACATACCATTTAAAATCAGTGACAGTGACAGCAATTGTGGTTGCTGTCTTTTCCCGAGGGCTCTCTAGGGCTGTGCTCTGCATTGGAGCTTTAGGAGCATGATCCTTTGAATCCTCCTGCCAGCCCTGTGTCCTACACAGGTGCTGTTACTATCCCATTTCACTGATGACAAAGCTGAGCATGGAAGGGTAGAACTGCTGTGCCCAGCATGGTCAGGCCGTGGCCGAGCCATGACTGGAATCTGTTTCCAGAGCCCAGGACTTTCTAGGTTATAAAAATCACCTTGATCACTGCAAACCCCTAAGCAGCTGCCAGTAACGTGCAGTTTGGTGCTTTGCAATTGGCTCTGGGGCAGAGGCTGGGCAGGGCCTGAAGACTCTACGTGCATCCAAGAAGCTTGCAAGGTGAGAGGTAGAGGCAAAACCTTCCATTACCTTTTCCAGCTTTGCTCGTAGCCTTCTCTCCTCCATCCTTGTCTTCAGCACTTCCACGTCCTCCTTGGTGCCATTCAGCACGATGACGTCATCCTCCTGGAAGGCAGCCCCACACTGGAGAGCGTCAACAAGAGAAGACAGATTCTGTCAACCGCGCAGAGGGAAGCTACCCTTCAGTCCCCGACTCCTAGCCCCAGGCACTGGCCCTCAAGTTCTTGGCACATTTCTACTGTTTTTCTGCCTGCATCTTGCTTGAGTCAGCTGTCAGGTCAAAGCCCTGGTTGGGAAGTTTCTGTGCACGGGGAAGCGTTAGCATGGCAGGCCCGAGAGCACTGTCTCTGACACAGCCCGCTTGCGAGGCTGGCCTCTAACTGGCATCTGGGATCTTGGATTTGGGGAGGGCTCCCACTATTTCTTAACTGATAAGGATGGCTTGGCTGGCTATACCCAGATTGTTCATGTTAACAATGTGGCTTATGCTGAAGGCCTGCTTTCCTTCTGGGAGAGTCTGGAATTCTGGCAGATGCTAGGCAGAGGGTATGTGACCAGCTTCTGGCTAAAAAAACTGGGCACTGAGTCTCTCACTGGCTTCCATGGGCAGAAAGAGCACACACATGTTGCTGCATTTTTGTTGCTGAGGGAAGTGTTCCCTGTGTCCCCTCAAGGGAGGGAGAGCACATAAGGAAGCCTCACATGGATTCTTCCAGACTCTACCACCTGGCTGTGTATCCTTACCACAGTCGCTGTGATGCGCCTCAGCTGAGGGTACAACCAGAGGCTAAGTCCTGTGAGTCCTAGAAACCGCCCAAGCACAAGGGTTGCCTTGGGAGCCCTGAAACACCCTGGCAGAATACGACTGTGAGCAGGGTTTAGGCCACCCGGACAGTAGCACAGTGGCGGAAACACACACCGTGCACCCCGAGGCATGCCCGCACTCGCAAATTTGTCAGTGAGTGAGTCGCCTCCCCAGAGAGGCCACCCATGCTCACGCTATGAATGATGCTGCCTGCCCCTGCCTGCAGGCTCCTAGGACCCTTTCTATGTCTGCTCCATGGCACTGATCACAACCTGAAGTCCCTGTCTTTGTCAGGTTGTCTAATTACGTGGTCTTCCCTGCTGTGGCCTGGCGACTGGCCCAGTGCCTGATATCACAGTTCTTCTGTAAACCTGGGCTGGGAGCCAGAATTACAGGGAGAAAAATGAGAATGAGGCGGAGGTACCCATTCCCACATTTTGAAATGAAGTTTCTGCCATGACCTGTCTAGGCCGCTTTGATTGGGCCATCCTACCATCTTTCTGGCCTCGAGTTCCTCAGCTGCAGAAAGAGGGCATGGTCTAACCCAAGTGCAGTGGCTCTTAATTGGAGTGATTCTGCTCCCCAGGGGACATCTGGCTGTCACACCTGGGATGCAGGTGCCACTGGCATGTTGTGGGTAGAGGCCAGGGATGCTGCTAAACATCCTACAATGCCCAGGACAGCCCCCTACCCCAGAGAATTGCCCAGTCCAACATGCCACTAGGGCTGGGGGTGAGAAACCCTGGATTAGGGCCATAAACACCTAAACGTAAAAAAGGAAAATTTAAAAGAATAAAAATAACTTATGGGAAAATATGTTTCATCACTAGGGTAAGAAAAGTCATCTAAAGCTAGAAAGAGGTAGAAGCCATAAAGGTTAGTAAGGTTTGCTGTGTAAAAATGACAAACTTCTACATGACAGAGTCATAGCAACCAGAAAGTACATAAGCCAAAGGCTAAGAGAAAATATACGCAGCATATATAACATTCAAAGGATTAATTTACAGAACATACTCATATTCATATAAGAACACTTTATAACTCCCTGCCACAGCCCACCCCCTAAAAAAGAGAAAGACAATGAAAGAGCAAGGTCTGAGCGCCCGTTCCAGCAGCAGGAACACCCCGCGCAGCCCCAGCCCACCCGCGGCGACTCAGCCTCTCAAACACCAGCTGGGAATCTGGGGCCACATCCCAGTCGGAACCTCTATGCGGTTTGCTACGTCTTATCTGTAAAAAGTAAATGCTACAGAAACAAACTGTCAACAGATGAATGGATAAAGAAATTGTGATTGATATATATATCTATATATATCACATATATTTATATATATAAAATGGAATATTATTCAGCCTCTAAAAGAGATGGGATACTGCCATTTTCGACAACATGGATGAACCCTGAGGACATTATGATAACTGAAATACACCAAAGAAAAATGCCCCATGATTTCACTTATATGTGGAATCTTAAAAAATCAAAAACATAGGAACAGGGAGGGAGTAGAGCAGTTACCAGGGGCTGGGAGAGGGGAGCACCTGGGGAGATGTTGGTCAAAGGGTACGAAGTGGCAGTTACGCAGGGTGAGTAAGTCAGGGATCTAGTGTATAGCGTGAGGACTATAGTTACTCACTGTACTGAAGGAAATTGCAAGTTCAGGCACTTCACCTCGCCACACACACAAAGGTAATTACGTGAGGAGATGGATATGTTAATTGCTGGCTATTAGTCAACATTCTCTATCTATATAAACATCATGTTGTACATCTTAAACATATACAATTTTTTTTTAAATGTAGGCTGAGCGTGAAGCTTCACACCTGTAATCCTAGCACTTTGGGAGGCCAAGGAGGAGGGACTGCTTAAGGCCAGAAGTTCAAGATTAGTCTTGGCAACACACCAAGACCACATCTCTAAAAAAATAAGAAAAATTAGCTGGTGTGGTGGTGCATGCCTGTAGTCCCAGCTACTTAGGAGGCGGAGCCAGGAGGATCGCTTGCAGAACATTCACATGCAAGTCTTTATGTGGATGTCATTTCCTCTTAGTAGCTATCTAGGAATGGAATGCCTGAGTCATATGCTGACTTTATGGTTTTCTTTTTTTTTCCAGGAGGTCTTGCTTTGTCATCCTGCGTGGGTGCGCAATGTGGATCATGCAGTGGTCTCAAACTCTTGGGTTCAATTGATCCTCCTGCTTCAACCTCCTGAGTAGCTGGAACTACAGGTGTGTGCCACCATGCCCAGCCAATTTTTCCATTTTTTGTAAAGACAGGGTCTTGCTCGTGTTCAGCTGGTCTCAAACTCCTGGCCTCAAACCATCCTCTCATCTTGGCCTCCCAAAGTGCTAGGATTACAGGTGTGAGCCACTGACATTATGTTTAACCTTCAGAGAAAATCTTTTCCTCAAAAGACTACTTTCCAACTCTTCTGCACCATTTCACATGCCTACCAGCAACTCATGAGGATTCTGATTTCTCCACATTCTTCCCAACACTTGTCTTTTTATTTACAACCATCCTAATGGGTGTGAAATTGCATCTCATTGTGAGTTTTTTAAATTTTTGAGACAGAGTCTCACTCTGTTGCCCCGGCTTAAGTGCCATGGCGTCAGCCTAACTCATAGCAACCTACAACTCTTGGGCTCAAGTAATCCTTCTGCCTCAGCCTCCTGAGTAGCTGGGACTACAGGCATGCACCACCATGCTCGGCTAATTTTTTCTATATATTTTTAGCTGTCCAATTAACTTCTTTTTATTTTTGGTAGAGATGGAGTCTTGCTCTTGCTCAGGCTGGTCTCAAACTCTTAACCTTGAGCGATCCACCCGCCTCCGCCTCCAGAGTACTAGGATTATAGGCGTGAGCACCACGCCCGCGCTTCAAGGTTTTAAAATAATGCTACTTAGTCCCTCACCCATAAGACGCACGTATATTTGATGATGTGCATCTCTTTTATTTGATGTATAGCTCCTTTTATTGCAAAATTTTAGATAGATCATCAATAGTTGTGATGAGAGAGGGGGAAGGAATGTATGCCACAACTATTTTTATTTATTTTTAAATGTATATGTTTGCTCCCACTTATCTTATTGATAGTTTTCCCTGGTCTCTTTTAATGTGGAGTTGCGGCCTTGCCAGAATTACTTCATGTCAGAATATACCATTCTGGCTAGTTCCTTCGCTCCTAATTTGGTCGCGGACTTAGCTCGCAAACAGGAACTCCCTGTGATATTAGCCTTCCCACCACACTTTTTGTTATATTATAGATCAGACAAGTACTTACTCATTGATCTCTACCCAGATTCTTTGTGAGTCGTGGGTTTGGATCTAATCCAGCGCGCCTTGCAGCCGTATATTAGTCATTTAAAAGAGTTGGGAAAGAGCAAAACCACTAAACAATCATATTCAAATTCTGGTGTTTGGATGTAATCTCTTGTTAGTGGATGGTCATCACATCTGTCTGCTTTTTATACACGACGTTTATTCCGGAATAGCTGCTTTACATAGAGCTTTCTCGCACAGCAAGGTTGACTATATTTCGCTTGTCAGAGGGAGAAGGGTCTTCTGCAAGCCGTACTGATTTCATATGGTGTGCTATCCATTCATGAGGGCAGAGCTCTCGTGACCTAATCACCCCCCAAAGACCCCACCTTTTAATACTACTGGGTGGGAGATTAGGTTTCAACATATGAACTTGGGGGGAGGGACATAAACATTCAGACCATAGCAAGTCCTTTATCAGATATATGATTCAAAAATATTTTTTCCCATTCTGTGGGTTGTCTTTTTATTTTCTGGATGATGTCCTTTGAAGCACAAAAGGTTTTGATTTTGATGAAATCCAACTTACCAATTTTCTCTTTTACCACCATGCTTTTGGTATCACATTTAAAAGGTCATTACCTCACCCAAGATCATGAAGATTTATTCCTGTGTTCTCCTAAAAGGCTTATTAGCTCAGATATTTAGGTCTGTTATCCACTGTGAGTACAATTTTATAAGGTAGGGGCCCAAATTCATTCTTTTGCATGTGGATACTCAGTTATCCCAGTACCATTTGCACCATTTGTTGAAAAGACTATTCTTTCCCTCATTGAATTGTATGGGCCTCTTTGTCAAAAATCAATTGACCAGAGATGTGAGGGTTTATTTCTGGACTCTCAGTTTTATTCCATTTATCTATATGCCCATCCTTACTTT